TGCATAAAATAAGATCATTTCTCAACAGTTGGAAGAACTGACAAAGAAGTTATCTTTATTACCTCAAGAGATATATGATATTTCAATGCTTCAAAGGCACCAGAAACAGTGGAAGCCACAAATTACTCCATATGAGAAAACCACAAAATTAGAAGATACTTTCCACCAATTCATGAAAATGTGCTTTTCTTATTGTAAGAATGTGGAGGTTGCATTTAACAGTATGAAGATGCACATTGGGCAAATTTTCAACAAGATGGAAGGTTGTGAGAAGGATGTAAAGAGTAATTTGAGTGAAGAGTGTAAAACCATTGTTACTAGAAGTGGTAAAGTGTTAGAGGGAAGAAAAATAGAGAGAAAAGAGAAATGAGAGTGGGAAAGAAATATTTGAGTGGAAAGATTAGATTGAGAGAGAAAAAAAGAGAGAAGAGGAAGATAAGAGAAAAAAAGAGAATGAAAGGGAGAGAGGAGAGAGAGAGAAAAAGAGAAAATAGTTGTACAACTCCTACCTTATCCAAAGACTTATTCAAGGAAGGAAAGGAAAAACAGTTGGAGAGGTTCATGGAGATGTTTAAAAAACTGCAGATTAGTATTCCTTTCTCTGAAGCATTGCAACAGATGTTATCCTATGCAAATTTTTTGAAGGAACTCCTTACAAAGAAACGAAAATATATTGAAAAGGAGACCATTGAAGTGCAAGGTAACTACAGCGCAATCATACAACAATTACCTCCTATGTTTAAAGATCCAGGGACCTTCATTATTCCTTGCACCATAGGAGAGTTGGAAGTCAGAAGGGCATTGATTGATTTACGAGCTAACATTAATCTGATGCCGCTTTCTATGTTTAAAAGAATTGAGGGGTTGGAACTCAAACCTACGCAAATGACACTCCAATTGGCGGACATGTCTCTTAAATACCCTTATGGGGTAGTTGAAGATGTGCTAGTAAAGGTTGACAAATTTGTATTTCAAGTGGATTTTGTTATAATGGAGATGTACCTCTCATTCTTGGGAGACCATTTATGAAGACTGCCATAGTTCTAATTGATGTGGAGAATGGTAAGCTTAAAGTGAGAGTTCAAGATGAAGAAGTGAATTTTGATGTATTCAAAGCCATGACACATCCTAAAGATGATAAAGCATGTTTTCAATTTGATATACTTGATGAAGTTTGTATGGTGCAAGAAAGGATGGTACGTTATTCTACTCCACTAGAGAAAACTCTTATTGATGCTTGTGAAGACTTAAATGAAGAAGAAGAGAAACTTATTGATGAATGTATGAAGAATTTGGAGACATTGAAGGAGATTCCAGTGGAGGATGTTCAGTTCGAGAAAATTGATATCAAAGAAGAGGTCAAAGCAAAGAAGTTAGAATAAAAAATGTTATCATCACACTTGAAGTATGTTTTTCTAGAAGAAGATGGAAAAAAGCCAGTCATCATTAGTAATTCTTTGCTTCCTGGAGATGAAGAAAAGTTGGTAGAAATATTAAAAGCCAACAAAGAAGCTATTGGTTGGCCAATTTCAGATCATTAAAGGTATAAGTCCAACTTATTGCATGCACAGGATCTTTGTGGAAGATGATTATAGGTCAAGTGCTCAACCACAGAGAAGGCTAAATCCTGTCATGAAGGAAGTGGTTAGAAAAGTAGTATTGAAGCTTTTGGAAGCTAGCATTATTTATCCAGTTTCTGACAGTGAATGGGTGAGTCCAATACAGGTAGTTCCAATGAAAGGAGGGATGACAGTAATCTATAATGAGAAGAATGAACTTATTCCTACTCGGACTGTTACTGGATGGCAAATGTGCATTGATTACAGGAAGCTGAATAGAGCTACCAAGAAGGATCATTTTCCTCTTTCGTTCATGGACCAGATGTTGGAGAGATTGGTAGGTCAGGCTTTTTATTGTTTTTTGGATGGATATTCTGAATACAATCAAATTGTGGTAGATCCAAAAGACCAAGAGAAGACGTCATTTACATGTCCTTTTGGTGTCTTTGCCTACAAAAAGATTGCATTTAGGTTATGTAAGGCTCCAGCCACATTTCAAAGGTGTATGCAGGCAATTTTTTGCAGATCTAATAGAGAAGTGCATTGAAGTCTTCATGGATGATTTTTCAATCTTTGGAGATTCTTTCCAAAGGTGTTTGGCGAATCTGGACATTGTTCTAAAAAGGTGTGTTCAAACAAATCTGGTACTTAATTGGGAGAAATGCCATTTCATGGTAACAGAAGGAATTGTGTTAGGACACAAGATTTCTTCTAAGGGGATTGAAGTTGATAAAGCCAAAGTAGAGGTCATTGAGAGACTCCTTCTAGCAACAAATGTGATGAATGAAGAATGTTTGAAAGCCTTTGATATCTTTTGTGATGAATGAAGAATGTTTGAAAGCCTTTGATATCTTGAAAAGTAAGTTGGTTTCGGCTTGAGTGATTATAGCTCCAGATTGGAATCAGCATTTTGAGCTAATTTGTGATGCTAGTGATTATGCAATAGGAGTCGTGCCTGGTCAGAGAAAAGAAAAGGTATTTCACACAATCTATTATGCTAGTAAGGTTTTATATGATGCCTAGTTGAATTATGCGACTATTGAGAAGGAATTCTTAGCCATAGTTTATGCTTTGGAGAAATTTAGACCTTATCTCATTGGGTCTAAGGTGATTATCTACACAGATCATGCAGCTATAAAATATTTGTTGACAAAGCCAGATTCTAAGCCACGTTTGATTAGATAGGTACTTCTATTGCAAGAATTTGATGTTGAAATTCGTGATAAAAAGGGGAGTGAGAATTGGATTGTTGATCACTTATCTCGGTTTGTTAACCTTGAAGTTACTAGCAAAGAGCCAGAAATCTGGGAATCTTTTTCAGATGAGACACTCATCTACATTCAAAAGAGGCTGTGGTTTGCTGACATGACCAATTTTAAAGCTGCAGGAGAAATTCCAGAAGATATTAATTGGCAACAAAGAAAATTTTTTTTGCATGATGCCAAGCAATTTATCTCGGATGATCCTTATTTCTTCAAAATTGGAGAAAATAATCTTTTGAGGCGGTGTGTGACTAATGAAGAAGCAGAAGGAATTCTCTGGCACTGCCATGACTCACCCTATGGAGGACATTTCAATGGGGAAAGAGCTGCAATAAAAGTTCTCCAGTCAGGTTTTTATTGACCTACTTTATTTAAAGAAGCTCTTAATCATGCCAGGAATTGTGACAAGTGTCAAAGAACTGAGACTTTTTCAAGACGTCATGAGATGCCTTTACAAGGCATTTTAGAGGTTGAAGTCTTTGACTGTTGGGGTATTGATTTTGTAGGACCCTTTCCACCATCTTTTAACAATGAATATATGCTGGTGGCAGTTGACTATGTGAGTAAATGGGTGGAAGCATTGGCGTGTCCCAAAAATGATGCCAACATTGTGCTTAAATTTCTAAAGAGGTAAATCTTTTCACGCTTTAGAACTCCTAGAGTGCTTATTAGTGATGGAGGATCTCATTTTTGTAATCATCAGCTAGCAAAGGTACTCAAACATTATGGTGTGAGACATAAGGTAGTTGCACCGTATCATCCACAGACTAATGGGCAAGCTGACATGTCTAACAGAGAGATCAAGCGAATCCTGGAAAAAACAATTGCTACGTCAAGAAAAGACTGGTCACAGAAACTTGATGATGCTCTCTGGCATACAGGACTGCAATGAAGACATCTATGGGTTTATCACCTTATCAGCTAGTTTATGGGAAAACATGTCATTTTCCAGTGGAGATGGAGCACAAAGCTTTATGGGCACTTAAATTTTTGAATTTTGATCCTCCTAAAACTCAAAATAAGCATAGAAGGTAGATACTGGAGCTTGAAGAAATGAGGTTGCATGCATATGATTCATCCATAAGCTACAAAGAAAAGGTAAAATTCTATCATGACAGGAAGTTGATAAAGAAGGTCTTTAATCCAAGGCAGTAGGTACTATTGTTCAATTCAAGATTAAAGTTGTTTCTTAGGAAGTTGAAGTCAAAATGATCAGGACCAATCATAGTAAAAAGTGTGCGTCCACATGGAGCAATTGAGTTGATTGATCCAACTGCTAATGATCAACATAGAAGCTGGGTGGTGAATGGTCAACGTCTCAAGCATTATCTGGGATGAGAAGTAGAGCAGTTGTCCACTGTAATGAAGTTGGTTGATCCTTGAAGTTTTATTGGGTCAAGCTAGTGACGTTAAAAGAGCGCTTGCTGGGAGTATTGGGTCAACCCAGTGATTTAAGAACTTTTAATTTTTAGTTTGGTGATGTAATTATGAACTTTTGTTATTTTTGTTTTAGTTACAAACTTTTTACAGGGATTACATCTACTGAAGGATGTTATGTGGAGGAGTATCTACTGAAGGATACTAAGTTCGTTTACACCTACTGATGGGTGTTGAAGGATTTGGGGTTAGGCTCGTGACGTTAAACAAGCGCTTACTGGGAGGCAACCCAGTGTTCTAAATCTGTTGAACTTATTTGCTTTTTTTTTTTAGAATAGGGTTTGATGTAATCAATTTGAAACTTTGTCTGTTATGATGGTTTGCTTGTGAATTTTGTGTGATAAGTAATGCTTGATGATGCTTTGATCTTGATTTATGTTGAGAATGTGCACATTATATGTTGAGATACAGGTGGTTCACAAGCTTTGTGAACAAATGCATGATGTTGTGATTGTGATTATGATGTTAATCAGGATGTGTATGTGGAATGGTTAAATGAGCCTATATGTGAGGTTTTGAGATCCAGAGTTTTGATTGAATGCTATTACATTGNGTGGGAAAGAAATATTTGAGTGGAAAGATTAGATTGAGAGAGAAAAAAAGAGAGAAGAGGAAGATAAGAGAAAAAAAGAGAATGAAAGGGAGAGAGGAGAGAGAGAGAAAAAGAGAAAATAGTTGAACAACCCCTACCTTATCCAAAGACTTATTCAAGGAAGGAAAGGAAAAACAGTTGGAGAGGTTCATGGAGATGTTTAAAAAACTGCAGATTAGTATTCCTTTCTCTGAAGCATTGCAACAGATGTTATCCTATGCAAATTTTTTGAAGGAACTCCTTACAAAGAAACGAAAATATATTGAAAAGGAGACCATTGAAGTGCAAGGTAACTACAGCGCAATCATACAACAATTACCTCCTATGTTTAAAGATCCAGGGACCTTCATTATTCCTTGCACCATAGGAGAGTTGGAAGTCAGAAGGGCATTGATTGATTTACGAGCTAACATTAATCTGATGCCGCTTTCTATGTTTAAAAGAATTGAGGGGTTGGAACTCAAACCTACGCAAATGACACTCCAATTGGCGGACATGTCTCTTAAATACCCTTATGGGGTAGTTGAAGATGTGCTAGTAAAGGTTGACAAATTTGTATTTCAAGTGGATTTTGTTATAATGGAGATGTACCTCTCATTCTTGGGAGACCATTTATGAAGACTGCCATAGTTCTAATTGATGTGGAGAATGGTAAGCTTAAAGTGAGAGTTCAAGATGAAGAAGTGAATTTTGATGTATTCAAAGCCATGACACATCCTAAAGATGATAAAGCATGTTTTCAATTTGATATACTTGATGAAGTTTGTATGGTGCAAGAAAGGATGGTACGTTATTCTACTCCACTAGAGAAAACTCTTATTGATGCTTGTGAAGACTTAAATGAAGAAGAAGAGAAACTTATTGATGAATGTATGAAGAATTTGGAGACATTGAAGGAGATTCCAGTGGAGGATGTTCAGTTCGAGAAAATTGATATCAAAGAAGAGGTCAAAGCAAAGAAGTTAGAATAAAAAATGTTATCATCACACTTGAAGTATGTTTTTCTAGAAGAAGATGGAAAAAAGCCAGTCATCATTAGTAATTCTTTGCTTCCTGGAGATGAAGAAAAGTTGGTAGAAATATTAAAAGCCAACAAAGAAGCTATTGGTTGGCCAATTTCAGATCATTAAAGGTATAAGTCCAACTTATTGCATGCACAGGATCTTTGTGGAAGATGATTATAGGTCAAGTGCTCAACCACAGAGAAGGCTAAATCCTGTCATGAAGGAAGTGGTTAGAAAAGTAGTATTGAAGCTTTTGGAAGCTAGCATTATTTATCCAGTTTCTGACAGTGAATGGGTGAGTCCAATACAGGTAGTTCCAATGAAAGGAGGGATGACAGTAATCTATAATGAGAAGAATGAACTTATTCCTACTCGGACTGTTACTGGATGGCAAATGTGCATTGATTACAGGAAGCTGAATAGAGCTACCAAGAAGGATCATTTTCCTCTTTCGTTCATGGACCAGATGTTGGAGAGATTGGTAGGTCAGGCTTTTTATTGTTTTTTGGATGGATATTCTGAATACAATCAAATTGTGGTAGATCCAAAAGACCAAGAGAAGACGTCATTTACATGTCCTTTTGGTGTCTTTGCCTACAAAAAGATTGCATTTAGGTTATGTAAGGCTCCAGCCACATTTCAAAGGTGTATGCAGGCAATTTTTTGCAGATCTAATAGAGAAGTGCATTGAAGTCTTCATGGATGATTTTTCAATCTTTGGAGATTCTTTCCAAAGGTGTTTGGCGAATCTGGACATTGTTCTAAAAAGGTGTGTTCAAACAAATCTGGTACTTAATTGGGAGAAATGCCATTTCATGGTAACAGAAGGAATTGTGTTAGGACACAAGATTTCTTCTAAGGGGATTGAAGTTGATAAAGCCAAAGTAGAGGTCATTGAGAGACTCCTTCTAGCAACAAATGTGATGAATGAAGAATGTTTGAAAGCCTTTGATATCTTTTGTGATGAATGAAGAATGTTTGAAAGCCTTTGATATCTTGAAAAGTAAGTTGGTTTCGGCTTGAGTGATTATAGCTCCAGATTGGAATCAGCATTTTGAGCTAATTTGTGATGCTAGTGATTATGCAATAGGAGTCGTGCCTGGTCAGAGAAAAGAAAAGGTATTTCACACAATCTATTATGCTAGCAAGGTTTTATATGATGCCTAGTTGAATTATGCGACTATTGAGAAGGAATTCTTAGCCATAGTTTATGCTTTGGAGAAATTTAGACCTTATCTCATTGGGTCTAAGGTGATTATCTACACAGATCATGCAGCTATAAAATATTTGTTGACAAAGCCAGATTCTAAGCCACGTTTGATTAGATAGGTACTTCTATTGCAAGAATTTGATGTTGAAATTCGTGATAAAAAGGGGAGTGAGAATTGGATTGTTGATCACTTATCTCGGTTTGTTAACCTTGAAGTTACTAGCAAAGAGCCAGAAATCTGGGAATCTTTTTCAGATGAGACACTCATCTACATTCAAAAGAGGCTGTGGTTTGCTGACATGACCAATTTTAAAGCTGCAGGAGAAATTCCAGAAGATATTAATTGGCAACAAAGAAAATTTTTTTTGCATGATGCCAAGCAATTTATCTCGGATGATCCTTATTTCTTCAAAATTGGAGAAAATAATCTTTTGAGGCGGTGTGTGACTAATGAAGAAGCAGAAGGAATTCTCTGGCACTGCCATGACTCACCCTATGGAGGACATTTCAATGGGGAAAGAGCTGCAATAAAAGTTCTCCAGTCAGGTTTTTATTGACCTACTTTATTTAAAGAAGCTCTTAATCATGCCAGGAATTGTGACAAGTGTCAAAGAACTGAGACTTTTTCAAGACGTCATGAGATGCCTTTACAAGGCATTTTAGAGGTTGAAGTCTTTGACTGTTGGGGTATTGATTTTGTAGGACCCTTTCCACCATCTTTTAACAATGAATATATGCTGGTGGCAGTTGACTATGTGAGTAAATGGGTGGAAGCATTGGCGTGTCCCAAAAATGATGCCAACATTGTGCTTAAATTTCTAAAGAGGAAAATCTTTTCACGCTTTAGAACTCCTAGAGTGCTTATTAGTGATGGAGGATCTCATTTTTGTAATCATCAGCTAGCAAAGGTACTCAAACATTATGGTGTGAGACATAAGGTAGTTGCACCGTATCATCCACAGACTAATGGGCAAGCTGACATGTCTAACAGAGAGATCAAGCGAATCCTGGAAAAAACAATTGCTACGTCAAGAAAAGACTGGTCACAGAAACTTGATGATGCTCTCTGGCATACAGGACTGCAATGAAGACATCTATGGGTTTATCACCTTATCAGCTAGTTTATGGGAAAACATGTCATTTTCCAGTGGAGATGGAGCACAAAGCTTTATGGGCACTTAAATTTTTGAATTTTGATCCTCCTAAAACTCAAAATAAGCATAGAAGGTAGATACTGGAGCTTGAAGAAATGAGGTTGCATGCATATGATTCATCCATAAGCTACAAAGAAAAGGTAAAATTCTATCATGACAGGAAGTTGATAAAGAAGGTCTTTAATCCAAGGCAGTAGGTACTATTGTTCAATTCAAGATTAAAGTTGTTTCTTAGGAAGTTGAAGTCAAAATGATCAGGACCAATCATAGTAAAAAGTGTGCGTCCACATGGAGCAATTGAGTTGATTGATCCAACTGCTAATGATCAACATAGAAGCTGGGTGGTGAATGGTCAACGTCTCAAGCATTATCTGGGATGAGAAGTAGAGCAGTTGTCCACTGTAATGAAGTTGGTTGATCCTTGAAGTTTTATTGGGTCAAGCTAGTGACGTTAAAAGAGCGCTTGCTGGGAGTATTGGGTCAACCCAGTGATTTAAGAACTTTTAATTTTTAGTTTGGTGATGTAATTATGAACTTTTGTTATTTTTGTTTTAGTTACAAACTGTTTACAGGGATTACATCTACTGAAGGATGTTATGTGGAGGAGTATCTACTGAAGGATACTAAGTTCGTTTACACCTACTGATGGGTGTTGAAGGATTTGGGGTTAGGCTCGTGACGTTAAACAAGCGCTTACTGGGAGGCAACCCAGTGTTCTAAATCTGTTGAACTTATTTGCTTTTTTTTTTTAGAATAGGGTTTGATGTAATCAATTTGAAACTTTGTCTGTTATGATGGTTTGCTTGTGAATTTTGTGTGATAAGTAATGCTTGATGATGCTTTGATCTTGATTTATGTTGAGAATGTGCACATTATATGTTGAGATACAGGTGGTTCACAAGCTTTGTGAACAAATGCATGATGTTGTGATTGTGATTATGATGTTAATCAGGATGTGTATGTGGAATGGTTAAATGAGCCTATATGTGAGGTTTTGAGATCCAGAGTTTTGATTGAATGCTATTACATTGAAAGCATGAATGACTTTCCCCAAGTGTTCTATGATTGAATCACTTGCTTGTATGTGTCATATGATCAAGGCCATTTGTTGGTAACCTTTTTTAGCCAAGATGCATGATTTTAGCCCAATAAAAAAGAACACTATGTGTTCTGTCCTTTGAACCTTTAGCCTTGAACATGATTTGAAAATCCTTTTTGAAAAAAAAAACTTTACCTTGAGTTGAGTTGAAGATGTATTGTGGTATTGATAAATGTTCAAGTTTGGGGTTGTTGGGAAGTCTAGAAAGGGAAAATAACAAGCATTGAGCCAAGAGCTAAGCATGTGAAAATCATAAGAAAAAGGAAGAAAAGAAAGAAAAAGAGAAAGGCTCAATGCAAAAGAACGTTGGGAAGAAGTAAGAATGGTTTTGTTTAGATGATTCACTTGACTAAAGGATTTTGTAATCTAGAAAAACCAATTTTCTTGTTAGCCCAGCCACATTATAAGCCATAGAAAAGTCCTTGTGATGATACTTACTTGTGAATGTGTTTGACTGTAGTTAAATGAAAGGCAAAGTTAATTCATGTGACATTGTGATAGCAGAATGAATGAGTGACCTCTTATACACTTGTGTGTTTGAGTGAAACACTTTTTCTGGTGAGGACAAATTCCATGAGCACATAATTTCATCTATGCTTAGTTGATTGATCATTCATGAGAATAGCATTTGTTGGATATTATGGGATTACGTGAACATTAAAGCATGTGTGCATCTTAACTAAATTCTGTGTGATGATCTGATTTGAGTATTTACTTGTCTTGTGAAAGAAGTTTTGAATGTCGAATATTGAGTGCATTCGATGTCTTCTTCAACCAGAAGACAAAGGTCGTGCATTTTTTATTCTTTTTTATTTTTACTTTTTAATCATCCAATATAACGTCGAACCCCGTAGGGTTTGGACGTTATGGGTCAATTTGTTCTTATCTGAAACAAACGAGATTTATTACTTTTTCATTGAATGAAGTTTGAACGTCACATTCGGTTGGGCTTCGACGTTCCTACAAGATGGTGGAGTGTGATAGTTACTAAGCATAATTACACGATGTACCTTATCAGTTCATCTATAAATATAGCTTGCATTTCACGTAATGCCTTGCTTCCTGTTTTCGTATTCAACGTTTAGGATTCATATTTTTTTATCTCCTGAGCGTTTTTCTTTCCTTAGATTCCGAACATGTTTGTTCTTCAA